GTCGCATTTGCGTAAAAATGTTAAATTGTGAATATATTAAACGTTTTTGAATGTTTGATATTAGTTTTTATTTAAGGTTTTGAATAGTTTACTTAAACTAATCGATTTAGGTTTTTGGATAGTAGACTTCAACAGAAGTCTGTACCAATTTTGTAGACTTCAGGTGAACCCAGAAATTTTTTTTTACCAAGGTCAATATATAATTTAAAATATTAAAGAAATCCTTAATAAAATATAAAAATATTCTACATAATTAATTATCCTACGATTTTCATAATTTAAAATCTTTTTATGACGGTTGTTGGGGTCAAAATTCCCTCCGACAGTTTTCTTCCATAAAATGACTAAGTATGGAAATGAGCAGAAATGGAAAGGTGTCGGGTTCACTCTGAAGACATGGACAACTTGCATAAATGACTCATTTCGCCTAACACTGTTGCCTTCTACCGAGAACTGTCTTCTGCCGACCACTGCCTTGCCGACAACGTCACATGGAGTGCTCGGCAGCTCGCCAACGTCGCCACCCTAAAGAGCTAGGCAATGGGGGGAATGGGCCGAGTATGGTTTAGCCCACTTGGTCCGTCGCGCAATGTTGGGCCGATAACGGCAAGCCCAAAATGGCAAGGCGGCAAGGTCAAGCCCAAGACGACGTGACCATGTCAAGCGTCGTCTATGATAAAAGGAAATCCCGAGAAACAAGGAAACTTTCTTTATCTTTTATTTGTAAAACTAGCCGACCTTAGACTTGTATATATTCTCTTGTAACTCCTTTGTAAAAGGGATCCGCAGCTTTACGCAGAAACACTTAGCAAAATCAATAAAGTTTTCTTAACGCAATTTTCGTATTTTTATCTTTGTTCTTGATCGTTCTTGTGATTCTTTTCCAGAGATCTCGGGTCCCTTAAAGACCCTTGACAAATTCAATTGAGTTGGTTTCGACCTCCACAACGGTCTTATTTGTAATAGTTTCAAATATAAGCGGCAGTTAAAATTCGGAGGAAAAAGAGTTATAAAATGGGCTCAGTTTTGTTTCTAATTAAAAGAATAATGAATAATATTGAGTTTTATTAAAGTGGACCAGATTTGGTTCTAAAAAAAACTAGGTTGGGCATGAAATATTATTTTTTATGGTTAAAAACATAAACTTAACCATAAAAAATAAACTGGACCCAGTTCAAAACATAAATTAAACCAAATTCAAACTAATTAATGTAATGAAATAACAAAAGAAAAAAATTGGTGGTTTAGTTGACCTATGATATCATTCTTATATGTAGGTTCACCACT